CTTTAAAACAATATAAAAAAAATTTTTATGAATTGTGTAACAGATCTACAAATGATGTGACGGTTCCCCCTGTTTATGGGAGTGGATAATAAAATGGGAAATAAAATTCTTGTTAAAAGAAGCCGAAAACAATAGTATAAGGGAAAGAAAAAAAATGATGATATAACAATAACAGATAATAAAGGTGAAAATGAAGTCACAAATAAGAATGAAGTAAAAATAAAAATGTTAATAGATAATTTAGAAAAGAGTATGAACCCAAAAATCGTTCAGTATGAGATAAAATCAAAAAAAATCGGCACAAAGAAAATGGATAGTGATGATACGGAAATGGATAATGATAATATAGAAATGGATGAAGATGAAATAAATAATTCAGTGAAAATTAAATCAATAATAGAGACAATTGATATTCTAGAAAATATTTTACATAAGGTTTTGAAAAAAATTTTAAAAATGAATATAAAAGAATCGCAACTTGAGATAGTTTCATTAATTTTAAAATTTATTGATCAAAGAAAGGATTGGATAGAGACAACTAATGATAAAATAAAAGATAAGACAAATAGCAAAAGAGATGAATTTGAAAAAAACAGCAAAATAAGCAAATTAATTGACAAATTAAAGAAACAAGAAAACAGAGAACCAAATCGAAAATATGAAAGAATATTAAAAGTAGTTTTTTATCCTTTAAAATTTTTATTTCAAGATTATTATCACTACTAGTTTTATTAGTTTATCGAGTTTTAGAAATAGTTCTACAGCCATTTATAATTCTAGTTTATCTGATTTTATTACCAATATTAAAAGTAATTTTTTATCCTTTGCGAAAAGTTATTGAAATCATTGGGGAATTCGTTGTTATGAAAGTAAAGATTTACTGTGCAAAAGAAAAAAGAATTAATATTCTGAAGAATATTTTAAAGAATATAAATGTCGCTGAGGATAAAAATAGAAAACTATTATTAAATATTGCAGAAAGTATCGCAAAAAAGAGTGCAATAGAAATTGCAAAAGAAACAAATTATAACATAACTGAGAGTTATTTATGGAATAATGATGAGTTGAGAACAATAGTTACGAATCAAAACCTATATAAAGAAATGTTTGCAGTAGATAAAAAAGTAAGAAGAATAGACAAACTTCAAGAAGTAAAAAAATTCAGGAAAACAATATATGAAATCTATGAAATAGTTTATCATAAAGAAGTATATTTTTTAAAAAAATTAGTTAAGCATATACAAACTACACTAGTCATTCGTTTTATATTGATCTCTGTATTTTCATGCCTTTTTATTATTTTGACAGCATTTGCTATTTTGGCAATAATTAACGAATCTTATAGAAATACATTCCAAACTATAGATACTGCTCTTATTATTACATCTTCAATTGTTCTACTTTTTACTATAATTACTATTATTTTAAATAAGCTCTTAATACCTACGGTGATAGGTGATAATGATGAGTTTATTTTCGAGGACAAAATTTATAATTTGTATGCAAGAGCTTGGTATGAAAAACAAGAATTTACCCAGCGTCATCCAACTATAGCAAGAATTATTCTTTCTTTAGTTTGGACATTTGGTGCGAAATTATTTTTTTTAGTTGGTCAATTTTCACTTTCAAGTAAGCGTTTTAAAAGAATTGAAATTAATAAGACTGAGATGGAGAAAATCAAGCGTATTATTTATGGATTTCAAGTATAATTTACTAATATGCGAATAAAACGAATTTCAATATTTCTACTTATATTAATGTACCAGATGAATATGAATTAACAAACTAGCTCTTAGACACAGAAAATGCTCTGGGCACAATTTTAAATTTAATTAGTTTTTGTTTTTTTTTTAAATTTTATGTTTATAATTTTTTAGCTCTCAGAATTAGTTTTCAAGCTTTTTTTAAATTTTTAGCTTTTAATTTTTATACTTTTTAGTTAAGAATTTCTTTTTGTATAAGCATGACCGAAGTTCCAATTATGCACAAGTTACATAAAATCATGTATATTGAAATTATATAACGGAAGACATGTCATATGACAAAAAGACAAGGAAACGTCCATTCTGTTCAAAATTTCACCTAATTATAGATCGGGAGAGTCAATAATTTTTTTAGGGGGTTCAATCTTAAAAATAATAATAAATTTTGTCCCTAAAACTTAACTTTGGGGACTAAAAATTAGTTAAATTTGACAAATGCGCCGTCCCTTTCGTTTAATGAAACATTCTTTAATCAAGATAGGTTAAGCATGATATTTATCAATCTTGTAATGTTTATTCAGTTCTAAACTAACGTATCTATCCTATACAAAAATTAGTAAATCATATTTCGTGAAGGTTACTATGCGTTAATCGAAGATATTTAGAACCGCAAAACTCATCTATATTCGTAGAAAATTTTAATTTACTTTAAAAATTGGCAAAAGTAGTTATATTTTTACATACAAGACATTAAGAGAATAAATGCAATACTGATTGAAAGTAATTGGCTGGAGCTGAAGAAAGCGAAGTGAAAAGCCTTTCAACTTACACTTTACGAAATTTTCGAAAATGTCCGGTTTCCGGTTCAACTTATTCAACTGATCCAAATTTTAGGTTGCGTATCCGGATGTTGAACCTAAATTAGGCTCAATGTTGGATACTAAATCTTGGTTTAAAATAAAATAGCTGACTTTTAACTGTAAATTAAATGATTTTTAATAAATGAGTACAGTAGTTTATTTATTAGAAAATAAGAATTACTCTATATCAAACGAGTACCATAGTCATGACTACAGTTGTTAGGCGAAACTGTTTTGCGCAAATGGCGAAAGACGAAACCTAAACCTGGCGAAAGACGAAACCTAAACCTGGCGAAAGACGAAAGTGGCGAAACTCTGGCGAAAGGTGAAACCCCTGGCGAAAGGCGAAACTCCTGGCGCAGGTCAAAACTCTCAGCAAAGTTTAAGTTCACTAAAACTTTGGAAAAGACTATACCATATTGATGAACGAAAGTATTTCGTGTGTCTATTAAGCACAGCATGTGTCTCATATAAAGAAATGTATTGGTGAATGAAATATTTGCGTGTGGCTATTAAGCACAGCAAGTTACAAAGAGCCATGTTGAATGAAATATTGCATGTGGCTATTGAGCACAGCATGTGATTTATATATAAAGAAATGTATGTACGTACGTACGTACGTACGTACAGTACGTATACTATACAAATTGTATGTATATCAGTACTGAGATTACGCAAACGTCGATCATAATTTTTTTAGGGGCCAAATTTCAAGTTTCACTCTCACGCACTCATTTCTTTAATGGATCAAGAAAGTGTGACTAATTGTTTTGAGCCTCGTTATTTTTTTAATAATGAGAATGTTCCATTCCGCATCTGGAACAATAAAACGTGGTACATAATCGCTGAAGCAAAGGTTCCCTTTCATAAAGATATATTTCAAAAAGTTATTGTGTGTACCATTTAGATTTGTTTTCCTTTATCCACAAGTGGATTTTTTTTGACACAAAGTTATATATTTACAAGCTCATTTATTAGGAACGCTGGACAAAAGAGGTTCATTTGATAATTCCGCCCATAGAGTGCGCTGAAATAATTAATGACACTGATTTTGAAAGTAGCGATACAGATCACAATGAATTGCACGAAGAATCCTTAATTATTAAACCTGTAAGAACAATTATTAGAAGGTTGATACCAAAGAGAAAAGACAAAGATGATGAACTAGAAGAATCAGTAGAATATTATGAGTGCATTGGTGGTATATATAATTTATTTTTTTTTGGTTGTATGATACCTATTTAAAGAGCGAATGTGGGCTTAATCAGCTTTTTTATATTATTAGAAAATCGTGTAGTTTACTCGCCGATTATAAAAAGTTCTCAAGAGCCTGCAGAAGCCAATATTCCATTTTATTATCCAAAAGTAAGAAAAGAAATATTAAATAATGATATTAGTTACTAATTAGAATTCACTAAGTACAAATCTCGCGGTTTATTTATTTTATTTATTTGATGAAATAGGTATCATGTCTTAGCTATGTTTATTCAGAATATAAGAGAGTTTACAATACAGATATGGCAGATTACAATGGTTTAGATGATAATGATAATCAATCTTGGATATATATTGAGATTGTTCCTTTAGCGTCATTTAGCAATATGCTTCATATCTCTGACAAAATGGTTAAGTATTTCATATTTTTTGTATAATAATAGGGTATTATAATGCACGTACCAATTTTGATATCTCATGACTCATCAATTTACTTTTGCATGAGATATTTAGCCGGTTTTTTGTAACAAATTAATCGACTTTGTGCATTAAATAAGATTCTTACAGCAACAAATTCCACTTAACTTCAAATTATGAAGTTCAGCCTACTTTTTATTAATTTATTTTTGAGTAGTACGTTTTGGCATTAAAAAAATATGCTATATAAAAAGTGAAAATCTATTAATGAAAATTTTCACTTTTTAATGTGTTGCAGTTATTCTTGGTAAAAATCTAAACAATGTTTCTTGCTTAAATGACAATATTTTTGTACCATTTCATCGAGACGAATAAAATGGCTTGATATTGTTCGATTCTGATAGATGAGTCTCGAGATATCTTAAATAGTGCTTTCATCATAAATAGTCAATTATCTTACGTATATACTCATATTAATATTTTTTCACATAATTTACTCAGAAATATGCATACACACAATTATTTAAAAAATTATTCAAATGGTGCTATAATACATCTATTGGCTACCAAAAACGGGTTCATCATGATTTACTAGTACCAAAAGATTTATACATGCAAACATATAAATATTTAAAAGAAAAATATGCACGAGAATTGGTCAGGTAACTTCCTTTTATGCATGTGTTATTATGTATTTCTGCATTAACTTGGAATTTTTTATATTTATTTAATTTAATAGAAATTGGACAGAGAAGACAGATCCAGCAAAATTTGTATTTGAAGACATCGCAATTGCAAGTTGGTTAATTTCATTATGGACGTTAGAAAGACAAGAAAGATATCAAACAAGGTATAAAAAAATGTGATTATTAAAATGTTTTAATACTTAGGCTAACATCCATTTTAATGTTCGGGTTAATATTGTGCTTAGGTTACAGTCATTTGTTGATTTAGGATGTGGAAATGGTTTGTTGACCTTTCTGCTTATGTCTGAGGGACATGAAGGAATGGGCATTGATGTGCGAAAAAGAAAAATATGGGATGTGTTTCAAAATAAAGGAGCTAAATTGATAGGTATAGAACAATATTAAAAAGATTTTAGATGTCATAACATTGTTTAATAAAATTATAATCACTGTAATTTATTTAGTTGAAACATTGCAGCCGAATGTTGTAACTTATCCGAATGCAGATTGGATAATTGGAAACCATGCTGATGAACTTGTTCCTTGGTAAATTTATAA